CGCGGTTGATAATTCTGGTGTTGTCTTGGAATTTCCAGCATTGTTCTGAAATTTATATCTCTATCTGGCAACCTCCGACTCACGATCCGAACAGTAAAATTCTACGTCAAGAAGTTAGGAAACTCCAGAAAAAAATTCAGCTAGATCCGACGGTGGATAAGGCCGTGATAACAGAAACGGCACAGTCGCGCAAACAATTCCGAGAACAAAATCTGCTCTATTCTATCTATGTAATTTCTATCTAAAACTCCTCTAGAAAAATTACAAAAAATACAAATATCGTAGGCACACGATCTTCCATCAATATCTCGCGATAGAAATTAAAACCAACAAGTAACCACTCACGAGGCAGTGGGATCCATTCACATAAAACATAAATAAAACAATCCATAACCATAATAGCGGATTTTCTATTCTGCAAAACAAAGTCAGAAACAAAACGCTACATGCAACATATGAATTCTCCGTTTCATGCAATTTTGGACAACATGTGAACCTCAAACGAATTAATCAAAGAAGCTCTGATACCAATTGTTGGGATGTGAAGCCCAGAATTCAATGAAAATTCGCAAGAGGTTCTAGATTAGCCGGTTTTAATTTTATTAACATGCTTTGATTAGATTCGTTTAATGCGGAATAAATATAATCTAGCAACTTACAGTTTTCGCGAGCAGATTCGTTTCTATCTTCGGCGCACGAACGAGGATCCACGTCAAGCCTTCAACCTTCGTAAAAGCTGCTGTCCAGAAATTTCCAGTCCTCTTTCTTCAACAATATCTCCGTGACCGTTAATCCTATCGAGAAACCCTTCGGAGAGATTGTAGATATACGGGTTAGGAAGCTACTGTATAAATTTCGAGCCTATCCAACTAACGGTTGATTTATGGTGAATTTATTCGCATGACTGCTCAGAAAATTCGGGAATTATAGTTTGCTAAAAACCTATAGTCTTCTATTGTATATCCCGGATTAATAATTCCTCTACAAGGGTGGACTTGTACTTGAAGAAATCTAAATCTATAATCGAGAAATTAGAGAGAAAAGAAGAAGAGAAAAAATATTTCTCTCCAACGTGAAATATGCGTGTAGGCGTGTAGAATTATTTCTCTCTCATCAACCCAATCTCTATTATATATAGCATACAAGGAATTAGAGTCTCACATAGAGAGGATTACATGGAAACAAATCCCACTACTTCTACAACTCTATATAGTTGAAAATTGCAATCCAATGGGGACTTAATTTTCGGCTATATTAATTCCAATATATAATATTGGTTGAACTTTATTTTCTCGAATTAATTAGAAAATCCATTGGGCTACAATAGGGACTAAAGGAGAAAATATATAAATCGGGCAACTAATAATTAATTAAATCCAAACTCTTAAAGAATTCATTTAATTAATCATTAAATAATTATTTATTTTCCACTACCAAATAATTATTGAACTCCCGTTTATATTCTCAAATATTACATTCGAGCTCCGGTCGATCATTACTTAGATTCTCCCCACATTAACAAATCTTATAACCACCAAATAATTTATTCACTGCTAAATAAATTAAATGGTTTCTTTTCATGAGTCTTACCCGCTTAACTTATTTGAGTATGCCGGATACGAAATCCACCTGGCCAGGACTTGGCATAAACAAATCATATAAGCTACTCAAGGGTTATTATCAATCTCATATTTCAGAGATGTGGATTCCTTTCGATAATCAATTTCCACCTATTAATTCTTAATGTCTCTACCCAACGCACCGGGGGCCATTTGACTCAATATAGGAATCTCTCCCATTGTGACATCAAAGTAGAGATCATCAATTAAATATGTACGTTAATTATCTAGGGATTAAGAGAGTAAGTAATTTACTATCAACTATAAATAATACAGTTTCATTTTGAACAGTGATGAAACAATTATTTCACTTTGTCCGGTTCAACACATGCCGGGTTTGCTAGCACAATAAGTCAAAACAATAACTACAAAAGTTATTCGCTGTTTACTGTGATCAAGACCAATCACTTAAATATTGTGCTACAATCTTTTACCAATGGTTAGTCCATTTCCATCTAGATTGTGAACGTTTATCTTTATATTCTAAACGAACTTTCAAAATGATCTTTATGTGCGCCGTAGCACACCATTTCGAATACTATTAGAATATTAGACTTATGCTTTTAATTAATTGACAAACAATCAATTAAGTGCAATGAATACCCTAGTGCAGATTCTCATAAAACGACAATAATTTTATTTTATTAATTCAATAATAAAATTATGTAGCTAAAAGCGAAACTTTTAGTCTACTATCCTAACAATGTTTTAGGTATAGCGACTAAGCTAACACCATTTTGATCGATTTCGAATGTTATTCATTGAAGCGACATGGCTTGAAGATAAATTATCATATGAATAGAAATCGTTTCCTATTGTCGGTACCAACTTTCTATACTTGCTAGAGATTATACGCTCAAGTGATATCTATCTTGGTAAAAGATTGCCCGAAACCTCCACCGAACGTCCCCGGTCGAGTGTTCGCCATGACTCAAGAACAAATCGAGCAAGACCCGTCTATGATAGCAGGTATCATATTTATCCTCGAAGAACCCATATATGCTCTAATCGATTCCGGCTCTACTCATTCCTTTATACCGAAAGACATAATTGCGCAATTGAATCTCGAACCGAATCGACTAAATTACGAATACCGAATTCTCATTCCCTCTGGCGAAGAAATGTGCTCCAATCTAGCCATAATAAATTGCCCAATCCGAGTTCACACTCAACCCATGAATTTCAATTTAATCCTCATGCCAATCCAAAATTTCAAAATTATACTAGGCATGGATTGGTTAACCAAATTCAAAGCCCAAATCGATTGTGCCTCGAAAACGGTTATTTTTCCCCTTCCGAACGGCGAAACCCTAAAATTCCAAAGTCAACCCAAGACCTCGATTCCAATTATATCCGCGATCAAAGCGGTCAAACTCATTCACAAGGGTCATTCCGGCTACTTAGTGGATATTCTGAAATCTGAGACTGATCCCAAAGCCCAAATATCCGATATTCCAGTCGTGCAAGAATTCCCCGACGTATTTCCCAATGACATTCCCGGACTCCCGCCCGATCGAGAAATCGAGTTCGAAATTAATCTCATTCCCGGAACTGCGCCAATTTCCAAAGCCCCGTACCGTATGGCCCCGATGGAACTGAAGGAGCTGAAGGACCAAGTCCAAGAATTGCTCGACAAAGGCTATGTTCGACCCAGCCATTCCCCGTGGGGCGCACCGATTCTCTTTGTCAAAAAGAAAGACGGATCCCTTCGCCTTTGCATTGATTACCGTGAACTCAACAAAATCACAATCAAGAATAAATACCCTCTTCCTCGAATCGATGACCTTTTCGACCAACTCCAAGGCTCATCGGTCTTCTCTAAAATCGATCTCCGATCCGGGTACCATCAACTCAAAATCAAAGAATCCGATATCCCCAAAACAGCTTTCAGAACCCGATATGGCCACTACGAATTCGTTGTCATGCCCTTCGGTCTAACCAACGCCCCCGCAACTTTCATGGACCTTATGAACCGAGTCTTTCATCAATACTTGGACCAGTTCGTGATTGTCTTCATCGACGACATTCTCATCTACTCCAAAACCCAAGAAGATCATATGTCGCACCTTCGCACCGTACTCCAAACCCTCCGATCGCATCAACTATACGCCAAGTTTAGCAAATGCGAATTCTGGTTATCGAGGGTGGCTTTCCTTGGTCACATTGTTTCAGACGAATCTCCGTCGACCCCAGCAAGATAGAAGCCGTGTCAAATTGGTCAATTCCGAAGAACGCGAAGGAAATTCGAAGCTTCCTTGGACTAGCCGGCTACTACCGCAAATTCGTAAAGGATTTCTCAAAGCTTGCCTCCCCACAAATTCGAAGCTTCCTTGGACTAGCCGGCTACTACCGCAAATTCGTAAAGGATTTCTCAAAGCTTGCCTCTCCACTCACCCGATTAACACGAAAGGACGTCAAGTACCAATGGACGCCCGAATGCGACGCCAGTTTTACCGAGTTAAAGGCTCGACTCACATCAGCACCAATTCTCGCACTACCAGAGAAAGTCGGAGAATTCATAGCAATGTTTTGAAACCCGGACCGGACCGGCCGGTTCGACCGGTTCAACCGCGAACCGGTGCCTTGTCCGGTCCGGTTAGACCTATAAAACCGAAAATTACAAAAACCCGGTCAAACTGTCGAAAACCGGTTTTTTGACCAGTCGGACCGGAAACCCGGAAACCGGCTCAAAACCGGTTTTTTGGCTGCACACGCGCTTTTTTAATTAATTCAAAAAAAAAAAAAAAATGCAGCCGAAACGGCGTCGTTTTAATGCCCAGAAAAAAAAAAAAAAAAAAAAAAAAAGAAAAAGAAAAGAAAAGGAAGTTGAAACGTGGGCTGACTGCTCACAATGTTTGATTATTTAATTTTTACCCTAATAAGACAACAAAAGAAAAGTTACAGAAGGTGTTTTTTATTAAAAGAAGTACGAGCCTCTGCCAGACTACCAGGCACCAGCCCTGTTTTCTTAAAAAAAAACAGAGAATTTATTCTCTTCTTCTCCAAGTATTGCGTTCTCCAAATCAACCATAACCGGCATCGTGGTTCTGAAATTGTCGTTGCTCTGGTAATTCTTTTTTCAGATTATAAATTTATGAATTCGTTTATTGAAAAATAGATCTAATTACATAGAATTTATATTCTTTTCACTATTATATAATTTAGCAAATAAATCTTGAAATTGGTGTTTGAAGTACACAAATAATTACTTGTTTGTTTTAGTTAATTGATTAATGGATACATGAGTTAGTTGCTTCGACTTTATAATTTGTAGTTTTATATGTATTTAATATTTAGGCATGCACATACAATCAATTATAATGAAAAGTAAAGATAATTTATGCTTATTTTTTTAATTTTCTCATATTTTATTAGAAAAGTATGGCTGAAAACAATGCAACGTCTTCGGGGACACAAGCTTCATCGGCTCCTTCGATTAGACAAAAGAAAGACGGAGCATGGAAATATGTTACTGAGGGTACAAATGCGAAAGGGAAGAAGATATGGATTTGTGGATTTTGTAAAAAAATATTTGCAGGTGGAGGTATTAATAGGATGAAGCAACACCTTTCTGGGGTTAAAGGAGCCGTGACTGCGTGCCAAAAAGTTAGTTTAGAGGTTCAGCTTGAAATCAAAGATTTGTTGGATGCTCATGCGCAAAAAAGTAAGGCCAAGAAAGCGATGGCTGAAGATTTAGATGCTTACGAAGAAGATGAAATTCTGGAAATTCCTTCTCAAACAGAGGTTTCGAATGGAAAAAGGAAAGCTTCATATGCTATTGACTCATTTTGTAAAAAAGGTGTAAGTCTTTCTTCCCAACCTAGTATTAAAGCATGCATGCAAAGTAAAGACAAATGGAAAGATACTGACTTGGCCATTGCATTGTGGTTTTATGATGCTTGTATTCCATTTAATGCTTGCACTTCACCTTACTTTCAAGCTGCGATCAATAAAATAGCTAGTATGGGTCATGGATATACACATCCTTCTTATCATGCTTTGCGTGTCAATTTATTGAATGATGCTAAGACACATGTTACGTTGATGATTGACTCTATTAGAGATACTTGGGCTGACACTGGTTGTACCATAATGGGGGATGGTTGGACTGACATTAGGCAAAGGTCTTTGATTAATTTTTTGGTTTACTGTCCAAAGGGGATTTCATTTATCAAATCTGTTGATGCTTCTGATATTTGCACAAATGCTGATACATTGTGTAATTTGTTTGCTGATATTGTGGAGTGGGTTGGTCCTCGTAATGTTGTTCATATGGTAACGGATAATGGGGCCAATTATAAAGCTGCGGGTTCTAGACTCATGGAGAAATATCCATTCATTTTTTGGTCACCTTGTGCAGCTCATTGTGTTAATTTGATATTTAAAGATGTTGGAGATATGCCCACAGTTCAATCTTTAGCCGTTCTTGCATCAAAAGTTACTGTTTTTGTGTATAATCATAAGTTCGCCTTGAACTGGTTAAGAAATCGAAAGGGGTGGCGAGAAATTATCCGTCCTGGTGCAACTCGATTTGCAACTACCTTTATTGCATTACAAAGTTTGTATGCGCATAAGGATGATTTGCAAGCATTGGTTGTTAGTCCTGACTATAAGCAATATCTAAAGATGCAAAAAGGTAGAGAAGTAAAACAAATTGTGTTGGATGAGAATTTTTGGAATAACTGCTTGGTGATTGTGAGGGTTATGACGCCATTGATACGACTTTTGCGTCTTTGTGATACTGATGAAAAACCATCTATGGGTTATATTTATGAGGGCATGTTTAGAGCACGAAAGGGGATTATGAATATATTTAAAAACAAGAAAAAGTTGTACAAGCCCTATGTTGATATTATTGACAGTAGATGGGATCGTATGCTGCGTAAAGATCTTCATGCAACAGCGTATTATCTGAATCCTGCTTTTCAGTATGACAAATCTACTTTTTGTACTGAGCCTGAGATTATGGGTGGAGTTTTGAATGTGATAGATAAAATGGAGGACGTCAATAACATTGCGATTTTGGATGAGTTAAGAATTTTCCGTGATCGCGAGAGATGTTTTGCTCGTCCGACAGCATTAACTTGTAGTAAAATTACCCGACCAGGTAACGATCGATTCATATTACTGTTATTTAATATTTATTTTATTTATGTTGTCACCTGTTTTACAATTTTATATACTATATATATTTGAAGTATATATAAATTATAAAATGCATTTTTTACTAATTAATAATTATTAATTAATGATTATGTCTTTCATAATTTTTTTTAAATAGATGAATGGTGGAGATTGTTCGGTTTCGACGCGCCAAACTTGCAAAAGTTGGCTATAAAAATTCTTAGTCAAACTGCTTCTTCTTCTGGATGTGAGCGCAATTGGAACGTATTTGAACGCATCCATACCAAGAAAAGAAATAGATTGGAGCATAACAGACTGAACGATCTTGTTTACGTTCATTATAATTTGCGATTGAAAAATAGGTGAGTTACTTTAAGTCTTTAAAGTTAATTTTATAGTTTTTAACAAATAATTATCTTATATTAATTCTTTTTGTTCATGTTAATGTTACAATTATTTATAATTATTTAGGTTGGCTGTCTCCAAGAGATCATACGATCCAGTGGATTACGAGTCAATTGAAAAAACGGAATTTTGGATTGTGGAAAATGAGGAAGAAGGAGAACTTGACTATGATGAACTTGAAAATATGGTGCAAGAAGAATATCCAAAGGATGGCGTTGGAGAGTCAAGCACACAAGGTTTGTTTTTTAAATTTATATGCATTTTATTTCATGAAATTTAAATAGTTTAAAATTATTTTCAATCGATTAATTGTTTTTGTTTTTTTTTTTAATTGTCAAGAGCATGAGTTCGATGTGATGACATTCCATGGAGGAGATGAAGGTGGAGATGAAGATGAAATTGGAGATGAGTACGAGGAAGAGTGATATATGAAGATGATAGTGTCTTTCATATGCATTTACTATTTACTTTAAATATTTGATTTTGATATGAGACTTATTTTAAATGTTTGTTTTGGATGCAAGACCTTTTTTTTTTGTTGAGTTTTGATTTAAATTAAATGTTAACTTTTGAGTTTTGACTTCTAAGATGATTATGATTTATGTTCCCTGTTATTTTATGGTTTGATTTATAATTTTATGGTTAATTCATGTGAATATTTGATATTGGTAATAAACATGCTATTTTTACGTATTTATATAAATTAAATATAAATAATTAAAAATAAATTATTCAAAAACCCGGTTGGACCCCGGTTGAACCGGTCCAACCGTGACCCGATAGCTTAGCCGGGTCAATGTCCGGTCCGGTTTTCAGAACATTGATTCATAGTCTACAGTGATGCCTCGAAATTAGGATTAGGCGCCGTCCTTATGCAAAATGGCAAAGTCATTGCCTACGCCTCACGTCAACTCAAAGAGTACGAACGCAATTATCCAACGCACGATCTCGAATTAGCCGCCGTCGTTTTCGCACTCAAAATCTGGCGACACTACCTTTACGGTGAAAAGTGTACCATCTACACCGATCACAAGAGTTTGAAGTATTTCTTCACTCAGAAGGATTTGAACATGAGGCAACGGAGGTGGCTCGAACTAGTCAAAGACTACGACTGCGAGATACTCTACCACCCCGGCAAAGCAAATGTGGTCGCCGATGCACTTAGCCGCAAATCGATCAACGCCCTCATAGTCCAACCTAACTTGGGAGAATCGATCAAATCAGCCCAACAAAACGATCCGCAAATTCTCAAAATCCGCAATAATCTCGAATCCAATCCCAACTTCCAAATCACCGAAGAAGGCCTCGTCCGATTCCACAATCGCATTTACGTCCCCGAGGACCCAAATGTTCGCCGACTGATCTTAACCGAAGCTCACCAAACCACGTACACTTGCCATCCCGGAGAAACCAAAATGTACGAAGATCTCAAAAAGCTGTACTGGTGGCCTGGAATGAAAAAAGACGTGGCCCGATTCGTCGCTGAATGCCTAGTGTGCCAGCAAGTCAAAGCGGAACATCAAAGGCCCGGAGGTCTACTTCAATCGAACCTAATTCCGGAATGGAAATGGGAAGCTATCACTATGGACTTCGTGCAAGGATTCCCGAAGACCCAAAGGGGATCCGACGCCATTTGGGTGATCGTTGACCGACTGACCAAAACGGCTCACTTTCTTCCGATCCGAATGACATTCAGCTTAGAGAAGCTAACCGAACTATACGTCCGTGAAATAGTCCGACTCCACGGTGTAACACCCCGTAAATATGTAAGTTGTTTAAGTGTGGGGATAATTGAATTTATTTAGTTGATATGTGTCGATATGGAATTATAATATATCTCGAATTTGATGGGAAGTGTAGAATTGTAATTATCTAAAGTTATGGCATCTATTTGGTAATTAAGAAAACTATTTGGCCCTGTAAGCTAATTTTAGAATTTACAAGTGAGATAAGAACCAACGTGTACTTCGTCTATTCTAATTCCTTCTTTGGCAGCCACGTTTCTTCTTCTTCTCTCACCTTCTCACCGTCTCTCTCTTTCTCTCTATCTTCCTCTCTTCTCTCTCTCTCTCTCTATATATTGATTCTTGGCTGAAATACCCAATTCATATTATCAGCATAATCGGGGCTGCGTGGATGCTTTAGCAAAGGGTATTAATGATCAGCTCATATGATTAGAAATATAGGGAAGTCAGATTTATAGTGGTGGTGGTCTCCAGCAGCAGTCGCCGGCGGTGGTGGCTGGAATCCGACAAAGAAGACGAGCTGTCCAGAATTCAAATTTCAGAGTTTTGTCTTTTCAGTAAATCAATTAAACGGAGGTCTTAAAGATGGAGCATCGATGATCCGAAGGTACGGTTTGAAACCTTAATAAGTTAGATTTCCAGTGGTGGTGGTTCTTGATTGTTTACATCAGCGGTGGTCATCGGAATTGGCTAGAACTTCAGCTCGCTCGTTGAAACGAAGGGAAGCAAAATCTGCTGCCGCACCTGTTTTCGGAGCCGAAATCGAAGGGTTTCGAATACGAATTTCGAATCGGTTCATTCAGGAAACTCGTAGAGGTCATCGTAAACTATAAGTTAAGTGTTCAATTGTATCGAATTAGAGTATTTAATATACGTGTTTTAGAGGTCGGAATCCGATGACAGTAATCTGCCGGAAACAGGGCAGTTTTGAATATCTTCTTGCGGGACTGTTTTCGATATGTTGGGATCATAATTTGGGCTAGGTGCCTTCATGAAACTTGTAGATTAAACTTGCAGGTTTCATTTAATTTATTATTTGGACAATTTGGATAACCGTACGAGTTGTTATGATTTTCTAAAGAAACTGTGACAGCAAACGAAATTATCCGAAAATCTGGCAGGTTTATGTGTTCATTTTTCGGGATTGTTATTGACGGGTTATGTTGTTAATTTGGATTAATGTCTTCAGTAGACTTGTAGATACAGATGTTATCTTTAACTTTATATATCGTTTAGGTCATTCGGATAAGTACGATGATCGCAATGATTATTTGAATAAATTGCCGCGAGAAGCAATTCTTAGTATGTGTTTAAGAAATTGACTATGTCATATAGTGGATGGTAATATGGCTATATTACTGTTTGGAATCTTATTTAGTTCCAATATTTTCATAGGTGTTGAGCGTAGTAAAGCTCTCACACAAGGTTTAAGCTTAAAGATGCTTTTATAGCACTTCTATAGCACTAGCGTTGGACTCCAGGTGAGAAACTATAACTCCTTATCCAATTTCTTTCCTGCGCATAATATCTCCTTTGTTTGAACCGAATATTTTGTATATATTGAAGCCTTCGATACCTTGATTATATTTGTTCTTGAAATATGATCCTTAATGTTCTGCGAGCATATTGTTTTCTTGGCTCGAACTTGGAACCATGATCTTGTCCTTGAAATCTTGAACTTTTCAATTCTCTTGGTTGCTATGTTCACGGCTAATTCCTATACTTGATTCATTGGCCTGAACATTTTCCTTGAATCGATATTGAACTATATTTATTCTCAAAATATTGTCTTGAATGCCTTCCGAGAATAAATATTTTGTTGGCTCGAACTTGAATCTCATGTTTATTGAATATATCGAGATCTTGATATACTCGTTCTTGGAACCTGACATGGAATTTATTGTTCTTCTTGAATTCCATATTCACGACAATTCTTCATCGGCTTGAATTGAAATCTGAACATGTTCATTATCCTGAGACTTGATATTCAATTATCATGATCGTGACTTATCTTGTGAATGATTGACTTGATTCTTGAATTGATTCTTGAAATGAATGACTTGATATTCCTAAAAGGAATGATATTGATTCTTGAACCTATTGTCCCACCCTTGAGGACGCTCTTTGGGGAGCTGGGCCCTAGGACCATTTCGGCAAGACGATCGGGCAGTATTGGGCTGACGATGACTGGTCTACCGAATGGTACCTCCTGATGGTTCGGACTCACGTTCGTTTGGAGTTAAATGTTCTTGAGCCGAATCGGCACGTTCCGGTCGTGCCTCTTGCTTGTTTCCCCCCATTTACGACACTTACAGTCTCTACATGGACATCTTATTTTATTATCAACGACACATCTAGCGAAGGCAAAATCCATAAATTCCACACAACCATTTTGATATGCTGCTAACCGACGATCACCTAATAAAACCCAACTCCTATCTTTTGGCATGCTTTAATTAACAAGATTACCTAGAAATTGGGAAGGATCACAATTATTAAAAGCAATTTTTCAAAATTTCATAATTTAGCTTTACCTTAGGATGTGATTGTAATTTACCCTAATTTAAAGCAATTTTTCAATATTTTTCCGAAAAGGTTTATTTATTTATTTATATATTTTATAGTCATAATTAGGAGTGGAAATCGGACGGATCGGATCGGATTTGGGTGTTTCGGAAAATTGTTATCGGAATTTTCGGAAAATCGGAAATTTTCGGAAATCTTCATTTTCGGAATTTTTTCGGACATTTTCAGTTATTTTTCGAAAATTTCCAGAATGAAACATACATTTCCGATTTGGGTAGTATGTTTCCAGAATTTTCAGTTACTTTTCGAAAAAAAAAAAAAAAAAAAAAAAAAAAAAAAAAAAAACCACCGACACAGTAGCAAAGCAGACAAAAATGAAGAAAGAAACATACACATTCACCAAAACACACACACGCACAACAGACTCACAAACATAATTCCGAGCAACGGTTTTTCCGAGCAAACACATAATTCCGAGCAACATAAATCCAAGAACAATTCGCATAATTCCGAGCAACAATAATTCCGAATATATCCGAGCAACACAGGCTCATCAAATCAACATAAAACAAACAAACACATAATTCCGACAAAAAACCTAAAAATAGATCGATAATCGAACACCCACGTAATTTTGAACATAAACAAACAAACATTTAAAAAAACATAAAATTACCTTGAAATTGGAGGAGTAGCGGCAGAGGGCTGGCGGCGGACGGCGGAGGGCTGTCGGCAACGGCGGAGGGCTGGCGGCGGACGGCTGGGGCGGACGGCTGCGACGGCAAAGGATCGGCAGCGGAGATTGGGGGCAACGGCTGGATGACGGCGGGCGAACGGATGTCGGCGACGGGTGAGCAGCAGACGGCGGCGGCGGGCGGGCGGATGTCGGCGACGGCTCAGCAGCAGACGGCGGCGGTGGGCGGCGGTCGGCGACGGCAACGACGAGGGCAGATCGGAGGAGATGGAGAGGGGGAGAGTTTGAGAGAGAAGGCCGGGAGGAAATAGATCTAATTAGGGCCTGATTGAGTAATAAGTCAATCTTTGCGACGTTTCCTATTTTCGTCTCCAACATATCCGAGAACTAGCGACGAATTAACGAATCTGTCGCTACTAAATTCGAAAAAAAAAATTTGAGCACATTTCGTGCGACGATTTTGTAAATCCGTCGCCGGGATATAAAAAAAAAAAATTACTAAAACATTGGCGACGTTTTTACCTTTCCGTCGCAACATATAAATAAATTACAAATAAATGGCAACTCCTAGCGACGTTTATGAACAAACGTCGCAACGTATATTATTTTTTTTTTTTTTAAATAATATTTGCGACTATTCCGCCTGTTACGTCGCAACATCTGAAATATAAAATCACAAAATATGTAACGTAGCGACGAAAACCTATTTTCGTCGCCACAAAAAATATTTTTATTTTTTTTTTCCGTATTGGCGACGTTTGTATACTTTTCGTCGCTTGCTAGCGACGCTTATCCGGAATCATAGGTGTTTTGGAGGTATTCGTCAGATGGAAGCCATTCATATCCCGTTTGAGGTGCCCGAACATTGTAACCAGACATGTAACAAAAACAAAAAAAAAACAAAAAATTAAAATTAAAATTAAAATTAAATGGCTGAAGTAAAAAAATTGCTCAAATTTGATATTAGAATAAATAGATAATTTAGTTGTATTCCCCGTCAACGGCGCCAAAAACTTGTTGGGTGCTAAATACCAACACGCAAGTGCACGTATCGCAAACAAGTAATAAAGTGGACTCGTGAGAGTCGGATGTCGATCCCACAGGGAATACGCAAATTACCTAATCCTAAGTACCAAATTCTAACAATTATGATTTTTATCCAGCCTACGCAAGTTTGTCAAATTAAATCAATTAAACAACTAAACTAATTAAGAAAGCAAATAAACACAAGAAAATATCAATAAAACTGACCTAGGATTTTATCTTCCCCCTATGCAAGAATTGCTCACCCAAAACCCCTCAATTATGAAATATATGATTCATGATTATTAACCCGAGACACTAATTTACTCACAACCCGCCGTCGCGTGTATTATGAGTCTATTATCCATACACGGTTCACTATATGTCTATGCAAACCAATTATGAATAAAGCATTAACTAACAAGTCTCGTAAATGGCTACCTAAGGTGATATCTGTATGTCTACGACACCACATGCAATTGACACACTCATTCGGTGAAAACTACTCGAAGGCTCTTCTACCTATCGTCTAATTATCAAAACAGCTATGTCGAGTCAATCCCAATAATCACAGATAAAGCACATAAATTGATCAAGTTCATGCACTAACAATCATATCAAGTAGAAGAAATAATCATAAAATCATAATTGTATAATCTCAAGAAAACGGGTTCACCATCCCCACATAGGGTTCCAACAAAATCCTAGATTAAAAACTTAGCTACTCATAACGAAAAACATAATAAAAGTAATAAAAGTCATAGATTAAGAAAAGATAGGTGAAAGAAGAATTATGATGAAGAGTTGTCAATTCTCCGTCTTCGATTCTTCGTTCTCTCGCTCCTCTCGCTCCAAGGTTGTGTCCAAAGTTCCTTTTGATTCGTGCTTGGTTTGTGCTTAAATAGATGTCCCAACTTGGTAGATGATTCTAGGTTTCCTTGTGTGTTTAAAAGTCCAAAATTGTCTCCAGCGTGATTTGGCACGGCCGCGCGAAAATCAGTGCAATTCTCGCACGGCCGCGCGAGAATCGCTGAAACCTTCTGCCCAATTTCTGCATTTGTCACGGCCGTGCCATTTTTAGGTGTAAATTTGGGACTGCCGTGCCGTGCCAATTCCTTCAGATTTTTGATTATTTCACTTTTTGCCCATATTTTCTTCAAAATTGCAGTTTTGACCCCAAACTTTTCCAATTCATCAATTTGTACCTAGAATTCCATAAATCAACTTTTTTAAGCACCAATTATCGTTAAATCACACCAAAAGCTCAAATAAAAAGATACGATAAAGTGTAAAAATATACACTTAACACACCCCCAAACTTGATCTTTTGTTTGTCCTCAAGCAAACTCTAACAACTTTCACAGCAACACTCTCAACAAATGCCTCTCATCACATAGATTAATGGTCAACTTTCATTTTTTGAGAACTTGCAATTATCATGACAATTCTCAAAAATTTACAAGCTCGTAATTCAAAGATACGTATTCACTCACCATTGCTAAAAACCACAAACCATGCTATCGCTTCAAGTATCCCATATTTGTACATTAAAATTGGAAAAAATTTATACTTACATAATAATATTCAACTCCAAAGACTCACCAAATTTCTTTACTCGGCTAGTATCAAATAATTGAGCTATTGGGATCATTGGGACTTTTTGGCTTTCAAATGTTGGGCTTTTTGGTTCGAGGTAGGAGATATGGGTATAGGTGGCTATGCTTCTTGAATTGAGGTGATTACGCCAAATTTTGAAAGATAGGCGTTTGAAACAATGAATTCACCTCTAAGGACTTTAATTAACTCGATTCTTAAGAGTTCAAAAGTCTCCACTTTTGCTCTTAAGACAATGGATCGAGCTTTCAAAACAACTCAACAACTAGTCCTTACTTCCCCTTCTAGTCTCTTCTTTTTCTTTCTCTTTTTTTATTATTATTTTTTTATTATTATTATTATTTTTTTTTCTTTCTTTTTTCTTTTTTTTTTCTTTTCGAAGAAGAAGAAGGACCTTATAAAAAATTTTCGACCGAACTCCAAGGGTTAATTTTTCAAAAATCTCCACTTATTCTACCTTATACACATTGGTTAAAAGAAAGAACACCGTTTCTCCAAGGCTCAATCAAGGTTCGAATGATAAAAATTTAAAGGTAGGCTTGAAAGGCTCAAACGGTTCAAAGATGGCCCAAATCACTTCCCAATTTACTCAACAATTTAGTATTTAACTTTGTAAATTCATAAGACAAGTTCTAAAACCGAATATATGATATAACATAAATTAACTCAAATTTTAAAACACAAAACTTTCAACCAAAGCAACGCATAATTCGAGATTCCTAACAATGACTCCTTCTTACGACACTTTGAATCAAAAGCTCACCAAAATTCGATCAAAATCAAGATAAAACAAGCAATTTCATCATTAAACATCGACCATCTTTCATCATCATGATTCATCGAAGCATTTATCTCAAACACATTTTTTTTTTAAAAGCAATAAATAAACTAAAACAACTAAAATAATAAAAAAAAAAATCCTAAGGCATGCAAACTAAAAAAATAAAGCACATAAACAAGTAATTATCCACCCCCAAACTTAAAATTTACATTGCCCTCAATGTAATTAACACGAAGTTTAAGGATAGAATACACCTGAATAAGTCGTTTTGGCCATGTCCGGGCTGCTCTTCCACCCTCGCCTTTATTATGCTTCAGTTGAGGTTCGCACGACCGTATGAGATTTTGAACTGTTTTCCGCACGGCCGTGCGAAACTTGAATTCTGGGCAGTAGCATATTGTTTCTCGGACGGCCGTGCGAGAATTCAGTGTAAATTCCGCACGGCCGCGCCCCTTCTCAATTTTTGGGCAGTAGCCTCTCCGATTTTCCACACGGCCGTGCTGGATTCAAGCCTTTTTTGGTGCGGCCGTGTGAAGTGAAAAATTGCACTTTGACCCCTGAAAAAAAAATTGCTTATTTAATTAGCTTGCATGCTTATAAAATAAATAAATAAAATAAAACAAGAAACATAAATAATAAAAATAATAAAAAAAAAGAAACGAAAATCTCGGGTTGCCTCCCGAGAAGCGCTAAGTTTATAGTCTTCAGCCAGACTTTGTTCCTTCTCTTCAATTCCTTAGCTTTTGAACCCATCTCCTAACTTCCTTTTGGAGAAAGTCTTGAATAAATGGGTTTATCCGATTCTTCTTTCGACTGGTTCGCTTAGGAATGCCTTTGAATTTATTCTTCTTGATGTCATGAGGTTTGCCAACATCGTCTTTTATCACGGTGTTTTGAGTAGGTGTTGTAACCAACTCAACTTTTTTCTTTTGTTCTCCTACATGCACATTAGTATCCACAAAAAAATTTAAATCATGTAATTTAACAGGAAAAAATTTAGAATCACTTACCTCCTCAAGAAGATAACATCCACTAGCCGTAATAGGCTTTTCATCCACCCGGTACACCTTGAAGATCACTGTTTCTTCCCCACACTCATTCTTAGCTCTCTCTTTCCTACATCAATAATTGATCTACCGGTTGCTAAGAAGGGGCGTCCTAAGATAAGGGGAATATTTTCATCTTCCTCTATGTCTAGTACTAGAAAATCGGCCGGGAGTATGAACTTATCTACCTTGACCAATACATCCTCCACTATACCTAAAGGGTGAGTAAAAGATCTATCGGCTAGCTGCAAGGTCACAGAAGTGGGCTAAATTTCTCCTAAGTTCAATTTCTCATAAATTGATAAAGGCATTAAATTTACGCTCGCCCCTTGATCACACAACGCCCGCCCAAAATACCTAGTACCTATTGTGCATGGAATGGTACAACTCCCCGGATCTCTAAGCTTCGGTGGGATTTTATTTGAAAGGATAGCACTACTTTGCTCATTTAAGTCTATTATTGCTGCACACTCCGGAAGCCTCATCTTCTTCGATACAAGTTCTTTTATAAACTTAACCCAATTCGGCATATGCTTAAGTGCCTCAACAAAAGGAATATTAACATGCAACTTTTTAAGATAATCCAAAAATAACTGAAATTGCATATCAAGCTTGGAGTTTTGAAAACGTTGAGGGAAGGGTACCTTGGGAATAGATTCACTTACTGCGCTCTTTGTGTTGCTTGGCCCGACCTCGGTCTTTTCTTTGGGCTCCTCTACAATAGGCGGTGGTGCAACGGACTTTTTAGGACCTTCCTCTAATTGCCTCCAATTTCGCAAAGTTACTGCATTGCACTGCTCGATGTTGCTCTTTCGAGGATCTTCCGTATTCGACGGCAGTGCTCCCGACGGCCTCGCGTTTAGTTGGGTTGCAAGTTGACCCATTTGTGTCTCGAGGTTCCGAATGGATGCTTG